AGAGGAAGGTTCTCTTACCTCTTGGCCTGGCATGTGAGCACTGTGGTGCTCCGCGCTTGCTTTTGAAGCGTAGTAAATATGGTATTTAAAAGAATACATCTCTTTAAATACACAACTTTTCTATAAACAAGGACACTGCTTGCATAATAAACTAATAAAAATAACCTGCATTCTAGCCTGCAAAGAATGCTATTGGTTTCAAAACAAGCAGCATTTTTATATGATAATTAAAAGCAGAAAACTCTCAAGACATGGGATTGAGTATTTTTCTTGGACTGAATTTAGGAGCTGAGAACACATCTCTATTTTGGGGGCAGTGAAATCTCCTCCACTGCCAGATATAGTTAACATAAGCAGGGTCACAGCGAGATCTAGCTTGGGACGCGGCCTGGCTCAAAGCACAGCACAGAATTAGTCAGATGGTTTTGCTCCAGCTCTGGTCCCTGCTCGTCCTGCAGCGTGCCCATGGCTCGGCTGGCTGGCACCGCCTGCTCCAAGAGGAGACATGGCAGGGACATGCTGTCCACCCGGACACGTGTCCCTCGCGGGTATCTGCGCAGGGGGCTGGTGGGGAGACGGAGCTGGGACCCTCCTGCATTGGTGGCTGCTTCTGGGTGCTGCTGCTGCTGTTGTGACCCTCACACCTCTGCTGATGCTGGTGCACATCAGCGCAGCAGGACCCCAGCCCATGGCCTGCCCCCGTCCCTGCCCTTCCTGATGGTGTTTTGGGGTCAATGCCAATGCGTGCAGAGCCCGGCCATGCAGACAGGCACTAACCACTGCTTCTCTCTTGCATTTCCAGTTAGCACCGAGCTGAGTCAGGGCTGTGCCAGAGGCTGCGACCTGTGCTCTGAGTTCAATGGGTGCCTGAGATGTTCCCCCAAACTCTTCATCCTTCTGGAGAGGAATGATATCCGGCAAATCGGGATTTGCCTACCATCTTGTCCACTGGGATACTTTGGCCTTCGCAATACAGACATGAACAAGTGCATCAGTGAGTATGGGAGGGAATGAGTGCAATGTGGGAGGGTGGCGTTGCTTTGAGGTGCTGCCTCCAGTGAGGTGCCTGTAGCAAAGGGGGGAAGGCACCAATCTACCCAGGGGATAACCCCATAATCTATGCTGTCAGACTGACCCCCTCCTTCTTTGGGAGGAAGAAGGGGAAGATGCTCGCACAATTATCTTTTCCACCTCCTCTGCCTGTTCACCATAGCCAAGCATCTCTCTGAACCTTGGCCTGGGGCTGCCTCTTTCAGCCAGAGCAACAGCAAGAAGCTTCACATGGAAAAACACAATCACTTCCCTTCAGTTTCATGCAAACCACCCTCATGGCCAGATTTCCATCTAACTCCGATTCTTTGCAGCCCATACTGTAGCTCCAGCTGGGGCTGTTGGCATGGGACTTCATTCTTTGCACTGTCCCACTCTGGCTGACTGATGCTCAAGCTGAACACCAGCCCAAACCTTTTCCACCCTGATCCTGATTTGGATCTGGCAGCAGCGGCTGGCGCCTACAGGAGCTGCAGCACAGTGGGTCCTGTACCTGGGAAGGAGGCAGAGAAAAGTGACTTCTGACGAGCACAGCCAGGCCTGGCAGGACATTCAGAGGCTTGTCCTGGCTGGTGGCAGACCCCTTGGGGCCAGGAGGGAACTCCAGTTAGCAGTCAAGAGCTTCCTGAGCTGTTCGTTCACATCAGGCTACATGATGGCTTTGTGGTTGGTGTTTTTTCCCCCACAGAATGCAAAATTGAGAACTGTGAGTCCTGTTTCAGTCGAAACTTTTGCACAAAATGTAAGGAAGGTTTGTATTTGCACAAAGGGAGATGCTACGTCACATGCCCCGAAGGCTACTCTGCTGCCAACGGCACCATGGAGTGCAGCAGTCCTGGTAAGTGATGCTTGGCCACCTTCCATGGAGCTTCTTGTGTGTGTGCTGGGTCCAGTTGCATGTATTGCTAGAGTGTGGTTAGGTGATAAAACAAACCCTTCAGAGATGATGGATCACTGTACCAGTGTGGAGTGGGTGATGGTAAAGGCCAGACGCAGTGCTGCTGCATGAAGTGTGACTCTGTGCAGTGTGGCAAGGAAGAGGGTGCTTGAAAACATGGGAAGCTGCTGGCGAAATGCATGTACCCTCCAAGCCTAAAGTGTGGGAGAGGCGTGATGGGGTGCAAGCCCTGGGGCAGGGAAATGAGTTACTGCTGGCCTCTCTTGTTATCTGGCAGCACAATGTGAAATGAGCGAGTGGGGGCCCTGGGGGCCCTGCTCCAAGAAGAGGAAGCTCTGTGGCTTCAAGAAGGGCAACGAAGACCGAACGCGGCGGATTCTGCAGGCTCCCTCCGGAGACGTGTCCCTGTGTCCTGCCACCACGGAGGTGCGGCGATGCACCGTGCAGAAGAGCCAGTGCCCCGAAGGTGAGCACACGTGGAGTCATAGGATCACAGGTTTGGGCTGGAAAGGACCTTAAGATCATCCAGTTCCAGCAGCAAGGCAGCCGAGCAGCCGAAGTTGGATGCCTGTGTGCTGCAGTGGTGGGAATCATCTTCTCTCCCAGAATGCTTAGGTCTGCGTTTTTCCCAGGAATTAGAGTGTCTTTGGGATGAATGGTGGTTTAGTCTTCCTCTTACGGGATGGACAAGATCTGCAGCTGGGTCAGGCGTTTAGAGCAGTGACTAACACCACTGTGGCCGAGCTGTTCCTCTGATGCACGCAGCAGCGTTAGCTCAGGGGCTTGGTATGTGGCCATGGAGGACACGAGTGTTCACACTTCCGCTGCGGACTGACAACTACAAAGCTAAATCCAGATTTGACCCTTCTTCCCTGTTTGTATTTAGGCAGCAGCTCACAACGCAGAGCACAGACCGGCCGATGGGGCAGCACTCGAGCACCTCTGTGCATGGGGAGGGGAGCAGGACCTTTGGGCCACCGCAGGCAGCAGCGGGCCATGGGCTAGCTTGCTCTGCTGGAGAGCCTCATGGTGCCTCTTTGCTTTATTGCAGGGAAAAGGAAGAAGAAGGAAGAGCAAGGAAAGCAAGATAATGCGAATGGGAACAGGAATCGGAAAGACACCAAAGACGCTAAGTCTGGCACCAAGAAGAGGAAGAGCAAACAGAGGGGGGCTGCGGTCCTCGCCACGTCCGCTAGCCCTGCCCAGTAGCTGCCCCTTTATGTCACCTGATGGCAAGACTTCATTGCTGCTATGTATATGAAAGCTTTATTGAACCAGAGCACTGCTACACAACACATACACATGTCCAGAAAGACAGTCATATACTCCCAGCCTGACCCACAGACCCGACAGAAACCACATACACAATACATAAGGAGGCTGCACACACCCACACCACCCAGGACCATGGAGGTACGCTGCTGAGAAGAGGAGTGGGAGCACACACGGAGGGAAGCTCCTCTCCCCATGGCTCCACAGGCACGCTGCGGGGAGGAGAGGTGGAGTATGAGTCAGTGAAGCACCCAGAGACTTCATGACCAAAGGCCTCAACTCGAGACCGGGTGCACGGCCCCAGCGCAGCACGGCTGCAGCCCCAGGGACAAGACCCGCACCACACGGCCGCAGCCACAGGGACAAGCCCGGACCCACACGGCCGCTCTCCCCAACCTGGGACCCCGATTCACACAAAGGCAGTGGCCTCTTTCTCTTCCCCTCACCCTTTATTTTGTGTTTTAAGCTGTATGACTTTATCATTGCGAATACATGTTAAACGTTTGTGGTAAGAGGTCAGTGGTATCTGCCCTGAATCTGCTTCAAAAGAGTTATTTCCAATTAAAAACAAAAAAAAACCAACACCCCCCCCAAAAAAAGCCAAAATGACAACCAGCTTCCTGAGTGTGTGGTTCATGCCTTGGCCCCTATGGAGGCTGGTGTCCCACAGGACAGAGACTCACTTGTGGAAGGGAAACTCACCAAAGCTTTAAGAGAAGCCCAGATTACGTTGCCAGCTGCACTGCAGCCACCCATCCGCCGTCCTGTGCCCGCAGGACCCCAGCCGTGCTCCGCGGAGCCCCTGAGGAATTCCCCCGCTGAAGGATGCAGTTAACATGCAGCAGATGGAGAAAAGGAAAGGTTCCAACAGACCACAGGTTGTGGAGACACTGTGACTCCTCTTGCCCAGTCACAGCAGCGGGACTCCATCCCGGGCTGGGGCAACGCTTGTCCGTCTGCCCGCACCCCACGCAGACGCGTGGCAGGAGGGAAGGCAGGCAGGAGGGGAAGGCACAGTTTGGGCTCTGCAGAAGTACACTGTTAAGTCTGGTAGGAACTACTGGTCTGCATGGCTGGAATTCCCTGGATTCAGCACAAAGCGCTCCTGCGCTGCGAGAGCCGACACTTGGGCCGAGGAACCGGGATGAGGACCGTGTGGGATGCAGGACTAGAGACCCATGTGCTTCTCTGCATGGAGAGCTCTGCCCTCAGCAGTGTCACGAGGTGGCATACTGCTCAGTTTCCCTTCTACTGTAAAATGTGCTTCCTCCATATAGATATGTGCAGACATTTCATTCCTCTAGAGTTCAACAAAAGCCCTCTGGTCCTGAGGGATGAAGTCGGGATGTGCGTGGGGTGGATCAGTGACGTGCTGCTGAAGCTCCTCGCTCCCCTGGTAAGGTGATGGGCAGGGAAAAGCTCACCCCAAAGCTAAACCTGATGAGTACAACCTCCGCTGTGCTTGTTTTCACACCACCTTCTCCGCTCTGTGGTTTGGGAGGGCAGAGCAAGCCAGCGAGTGTGTGGGGACGCCTCCGGGAGAGCCCCCGCTCGCTCCGATGGGTCGCCTGCCTGCATCCAGCACTCCTGGTCCTGTCCTGTGAAGAGCTGGTGGTTCAGAGCACCCACTGAGGACTCAGCACTGGCGGAGGACACCCGAACCCTTTCGCCCTGGCCGGTTCAGCTCAGTGCAGGACGTGGGAGCTGCACAGTTGTTCCCGCTCCGGAGCTGTACCAAGCTCTCCACGACTGCCCTGTCGGCAGCAAAACCTTTCAGCCCATCATCCACTTTGTGTTTAAGTAAACAAGAAGCCGTTATATCTTGTAAAGGGGATTCCATTTCAGCAGAATGACAAACGACCAACATACCAAGCAGGGAGAGAAAGAGGTTCTTAAAAGTCATCCTTTGAGTTGTTTATGGATCATGTTCAAACGATTCCTGAAAGCCTCCCAGCTGAAAGATCCGATCTCACTTGATTTTCCAGGCTCAGCTAGCCTGTGAGATAAGTATTTTGTTTGTGCCATGGTGTTGCATGTAAGCAGAACCGTTTTTCCCTTCCGCTTTTTAGCAGCAATAATCAGTAACCCTTTCATGAACCTCAGCTTGCTAATTCATAAACAACTCCTTCCTCCCTCCTGCTGCAGTATCTCAATCCAGTTCTCAACAAGGATTAGAGGAAAGAGAGAGTGCATTAGGAAGGTTTTAGACACGGAGGCTCTGTTCACTGACTGGATGCCCTTCAGTAACTCATGGCAATATTAGCACAACGATTTCAAAACTAAACTGCATATAATAGATCAACACAACCTATTTTATAGAACTCTCTAGAGTTTTCTAGATAAACTGACTAACTACTTTCTGTTGTGGTCTTTTCTCTTCCTTCTTCCCTTTCCATAGCAAAATGGGAAGAAAAAGGGAGAAAAGGCAAAGGAAAATTTAAACTACATATTAAGAATATCCAAGATTTTTTCAGCATGGGTGATTTTAAAATTAAATTGTTTTAGAAAAATTAGGAAAAAACAAAAAAAGATTAAACATAAATCCAATTTCTTGGTTTTCCACCAGCTGGTTCTCTTCTGAATTTAGAAACATTTTGCCTTTGACCAACGTGATTTGCACGCTGAGCTGGACAGTCCAAGCCAGAGACTTCCTTAGACAGGCTGATGTCATCTCAACCCACATGCACACGAACGCTCTCTTTCAGCCCACCAACCAAGATCTGTTGTGGTGTTCTCTCCATGGCATCACTGTAAAATACGCTTCTTTAAACAAATAAATAAATACATGGGTTTGCTGAACAAGCTTTGTTTGCTTTATTCACCAACACTGGAGTGAAACCCCAGCTCTAACCAAAGACGTCCAGAAAGAGAGAGCCTTTGGGGTAATTCATCCCATGCGATGGGGGATAAAGGGCAAGGAATAAAATATTAACAGCTCACAATCATGGGTTTGGAACTGTTTCATTTCTCTCTCATTCGTGGAGATTTAGGCTCTAAAGCAGATAAATTTCACCAAACACAGGTTGGTTGTATTATGTTCTTACCCTCTCCATGTAACATAAATCTGTATTTTTCATCAGCTACAGTCCAGTTTAATGTGTGCACACATACTCCTCAAACAATAATTTACCAGCTTTCCACCCCCAGGGAGATGGAGGCAGTGTGTATACTTTTTAGTTCATGTTTATGTTAAAATGATCTCTCACTCAGAAGAAATCTTTGCTTTGACTGAAGGAAACAGAGTAGGATAGTGAAACAGGTTATGCCGAATACTATTATTTGGATTACGCTGCCTGAGATCACTAAAAGGGAGATTCTATATATATTTACAGATTGTGTTAAGTCAATAGTCTTCACAGAGAGAGAAGATAGGCATAATCATTTTAAAAACTCTATTAAAACTACAGAAATACCAGCTGTATTTAACCACTCACCACAAATAAATCACGCCAATGGCATTTATATACATAATATATTATACCCCACTGAATGCCAAAGCATCATTTAGATGGAGCTGCTTGCCAGAAATTCCGTGAGTTTTGAAGAGCAGCAGGATCTTAGTGGGAAAAACCAGGCAATCAGGCAGATAATATATTGTTATTTACTACACAAACTCAAATGCCTGGTTAGGACCTGGCACTTAGGCCAAAAGGCCATGTCAAATCCTGTGTCAGGCAAGGTTAATGTTCAGCTTTCCGCTAAAGAAATCACTTTTCATGATTATTAAAATCAAATCACAAAAGTAAAGCACTTATACATAAATGCTTTAGCTTCTATTGCTGGTAAACACTTCATTCCTGCCAGAGAGATCAGATTTCTCCTCTCTTCAGCTTCCCCCTTTTGCTTTCCATCACCATTTTGGGAAGGCCAGATCCAAGGCAACGATACCTGGGATCACTTTGTTTTGTTCTGTTAAGGAGGCGTCAAACCTGGAGCTTTTTGCCAAGGAGCCCTCCCTCAGCTCTTGAGAGCTATATCCCTGAAAACCCACTCCCAAGGAGCTGAGCTGGGAAAACTACCGTGGTGATAAAGCATCTACCGTATCTTCTGGCCATGCTTGGGATGATTTTGAAGGCTGGCTACGAAACCCACTTCTGTCCTTGTGTTCTGCAGCGAATCACTGCATCAAGGAGAGTAAGATGGCTGCTGTTGCCTTTATCCTGTTAAATAAAACCAAGTAGCTCGATTCCACGCCGAAAAAGTGCTCTGAGTACAAGTCCAGTCTTGTTCTGAAGTCTTGGAAATCTACTTTTCCTTCATTTAATTGACAAAATCTGTAGATCATACAAGGAAGACAGTCCCTGCCAAAAATCAAACATCACTGGTTTTTAACAATACAATGGGAATAACCCCTTAGAACATATGTAATTATGGCAATGAGTCATTCTGATGGCATCGCATAACCACATTCACTGGGATTTTGACAAGGAAGAGGCCACATAAAACTCAAAGTGGTTTCATTTCAGGCCAGTCGTGCTGATGGAGCCGAGGCCGTGTGGCAGATCTGACAGGCTGGGCTTCTGTCACCTACGGCCCTGTTTTGTGAGGTACACAGCAGGGACAACATCCCACTGCAGGCAACTCAAGAAGAAGAAGAAAAAAGAAGTTAACAATTGAAACGGGAGGATGCATCGATAGCAAAGGAGAAGCCTGTGAGTCATATGGCACCAAAAAATGAGTAAAGTATCTGACTGGTTTGTGAACGGATACACAAGTAAACAACCACAGCTACAGAGATCCCGCCAGTTAAATCCGGACTCTTAGCCCCAGTAATGCAATTTTGGTCAGGAAAACCAGGGGAAGAGAGGGGAGCGCAGCTGAAAGGATGCATTTATTCCAATTTGAATGCAATTCCCAGATGTTATCAGGAGAATCTGTCCTTGTGACAGCAACTCCAGGCTCGCAGCCCGCTCCGATCGGGACGAAAGGGCTCAGCA